AAGACTGTACTGAATCAAATGTATCAATACATATATGCTCTTAATGGAACAATTGATTTGTGCGTTTTTGTCTTTTTTCTTGAGCTGCTCTAAATACTGCTGACATTTCAACTCTTCTCTTCCAGGGAGCTGGCAGAGAGTGTCGGTCCATCAGTGCACATGCGCTGGAGTTCCTCGAAATGTGTGCAAATGATGCCAACTTCTGGGAGATGGGCACTATAGCACTCAGCAGCATTTGTGCACACAGAAATTCACCATGTGTGCGCACATGCGCTGCAAAGTTGTGGCTTAGTAACACATTGGGGTTGATTTACTAAAGGCAAATAGTCTGTGGTCTCCAAGTGCAGTTGCTCTAGTTATGAGGGGAAGCTTTGAAATGAAGGGGAGCTCTGCTGATTTCTATCATGCAATCGTGTGCAAGTAAAAATGCTGTTTTTTTTATTTTCCTTGCATACGACTGGATATTCTTCACAAGCTAAAAATTAACTTCATTTACTAAGCTCTGGAGCAACTGCACTTGCAGTGCACAGACTATTTGCCTTTAGTAAATCAACCACACTGCTTCTTGGAATAGTTGGGATATAGCAATCCCAGGAGATAGCTGGGTCTGGCCTAGGCTGGAGACCACAAAGCACAGACCAACACAGAAAGTAACCACCACAAAAAGAAACATAAAAGTAAAAATGAATATATATATTTTTTAGCATTATTGTAAGAGAGAGGGGCAAAAATAGCAAACTCCTGTCTTAGTGAGTTAGGTTCAACTTTAACATGTTCATTATAAACAGCCCAAGTTTCAGAAAGGTACTTGATTGAGGGGAATCTAGGCATTCTGCAGAGTGCAGTCAAAATCAGGTGGGGTACAGAGGGACACTGCAGCTGGACTAGGGACACTGTAGCTTCTAGGTCCTGAGCTGAGCAGTTGCCCTGCTGCTTTCCAAACACAAGAGGTCCCCTGTTCGGCACAGCCACCATTCAGAGAATGCTTTACATTTTCACCATGGATTCAAAGCATTCTTTTATCAGAGGAGGTGGAGAGATTGGCATCACCGACCCGCCTCTCCACCTCGTGCAATCAGAGGATGCTTTGCGTTCTCTGTGATCTTTGAATGGTGATCTTTCTTGAATGGAGTTCTTGTCATCTTTGAATGGTACCCATGCTGAGTGGGTGACCTCCTATGTTCACAATGCAGTAGCGCAGCTGCTCAGCACAAGACCGGGAAGCTAGTGGATATTACTGTAATAGCTGTAATACAGTGATTTCAGCTTCAACAAGTATGGTATATGCATAGTTACAATGGTCCAAGTTGGACCAACGTAACTATGTAAAAATATCCATACCTGGAGGTCACTTACTCTTATTCACGTCTACAAAGTAGAAATGCAAATACATATAACATTCATACATACTGCAATATTTACCTGTTCCATATCAATGGTCCTGAATTTTTTCAAGAAGGGCCGGTTTCTAAAATATACACAAATAAAAGAATTCATTTAATATTAAAGATACAAAACATTTCAGTCACTTTTAGTAAAAAGTCATCTTTACCTGATATTTGTTAGACACTATTTAGCATCAAGTATTTGAAAGATGCACTGATAATAGTGATTTCCTAAGTATGATAGGACATATTGGGGTTGGTTTACTAAAGGCAAATAGACTGTGCACCACAAGTGCACTCCAAGTGCATTTGGAAGCTGCAAGCGCACTGAAAGTGCAGTTGCTCCAGATCTGAGGGGAGCATGCAAGGAAAATTAAAAAAAAACAGCATTTTTGCTTGCACATGATTGGATGAAAGAAATCAGCAGAGAATTGCATCTGATATAAAGCAACTGCACTTGCTGTGCGCTTGAGATGAAATGGCAGGTACACTTCCAGTGCACTTGCAGTGCACAGTATATTTACCTTTAGTAAGTCAACCCCACTGTGTTTTCTTCAAAGTCACATGGACAGTATTTTGTAAAAATAAGGTTTGAGTGTGTCAACCCTGACTTCTTGCATGTCTTAGATACTCCGTCAGTAAGATTTGACCACAATAATTTTCAACTTTGTTCCTCTTTATGTTCCATCATATTGTATAAACCAGATTAAAAACCTAACAAGGAAAGCAGGATCTCCTCATACTGGCTTTGAGAGGTGTGCAGGTCCAGGAACTCCAGTGCATATAGCTCATTAGTGATGGGCTTTATGTTCGAGTTGAACATAAGTTCGACTCGAACATGGGCCATTCATGTGTTCACTGAAAGCACCAAAGCACCCCCCCCCACATTGAGGGCATGTGGCCTGATATGGCTCAGGAGGGGGATGCACGCTCACCCCCCCCCCCCCCTTTCCTGACCTGCTGGGCTGCATGCTCGGAAGAGGGTCTAGTGGGGGGACCCCACACCATTTTCTTTTAAATTTTTGCATGAGGGCTCCCCTCAATATCCATACCAGACCCGAAGGGGACCCCACACTGTTTTTTAAAAATTTTTTGGCCAATGCTGACAACTCTTTTGACATTCTGCTGTCAGCGAGGAACCTCGTTGACAGCTGAAGCATTAAAGAATGTTTCACTACTAGAAATACCACATGAATTAATAATATAACTCATGCGGTATTTTAGTAGCTGAGCGGTATCTTACTGCATACTCAGATGCAATAACATACTGCTCAGTAAATTGTCCATGTTCGAAGTTCGCGGTCGAACTTTCAGTAGGTTCGAAGAAAAAATGACAGTTGGCGTAACTTTTCAGCATTTACCAAAAATTGGAGCATCAGTTTTGGGTGGACTGACCCTTTAAAGGTAACCAGGATTGCATCACTGTATTTCATATGTTTAGTAAATGAGGCCCAGGGTGAACTCAACAAATACAATATCAAGCAGATAGAATTACAGAGTGAGTATTTGCTATAATCAGTATCATACAGGGAGCATCTGTTATATTTATTGTTATACAGTACATTTTTAAGATAGGTCGAAATCAGTTCACTATACGGTATGTGCAGCATTTTAATAAGTGTAGCTTAATCTGTGTATAGTTGATATAATAGGCAGTTAATAGACATACAGTGGATATACAAAGTCTACACACCCCTGTTAAAATGTCAGGTTTCTGTGACGTAAAAAGAATGAGACAAATAAATCATTTAAAAAATTTTTCCACCTTCAATGTGACCTATAAACTGTACAACTCAACTGAAAAACAATCTGAAATCTTTCAGGGGGGGGAAGGGGAGTAAACATAAAAAACTAAAATTATGTAGTTGCATTAGTGTACACACCATCTTATAACTGGGGATGTAGCTGTGTTCAAAATTAAGCAATCACATTCAAAATCATGTTAAAATCATGTTACATAGGAGTCAGTACACACCTGCCATCATTTAAAGTGCCTCTGATTAACCCCAAATAAAGTTCAGCTGTTCTAGTAGGTCTTTCCTGACATTTTCTTAGTCACATTCTACAGTAAAAGCCATGGTCCACAGAGCTTTCAGAGGAATCTCATTGTTAAAAGGTATCAATCAGGAGAAGCGTACAAAAGAATTTCCAAGGCACTAGATATACCATGTAACACAATGACAACAGTCATCATCAAGTGGAGAAAATATGACACAACAGTGACATTACCAAGAACCTCCAAAATGTCCCTCCAAAATTGATGAAAAGACGAGAATAAAACTGATCTGAGAGGCTGCCAAGAGGCCTACAACAACATTAAAGGAGCTGCAGGAATATCTAGCAAGTACTGGCTGTGTGGTACATGTGACAACAATCTCCCGTATTCTTCATATGTCTGGGATATGGGGTAGAGTGGCAAGATGGAAGCCTTTTCTAACAAAAAAAAAAACATCCAAACCCGGCTAAATTGTGCAAAAACACATCTGAAGTCTCCCAAAAGCATGTGGGAAAATGTGTTATGGTCTGATGAAACCAGGGTTGAACTTTTTGGCCATAATTCCAAAAGATATGTTTGGCACAAAAACAACACTGCACATCACCAAAGGAGCACCATACCCACAGTGAAGCATGGTGGTGGCAGCATCATGCTTTGGGGCTGTTTTTCTTCAGCTGGAACAGGGGCCCTAGTCAAGGTAGAAGGAATTACGAACAGTTCCAAATACCAGTCAATATTGGTACAAAACCTTCAGGCTTCTGATAGAAACCTGAACATGAAGAGGAACTTCATCTTTCAGCATGACGACTTAAAGCATACATCCAAATCAACAAAGGAATGGCTTCACCAGAAGAAGATTAAAGTTTTTTAAGGGCCCAGCCAGAGTCCCGACCTGAATCCGATCGAAAATCTGTGGGGTGGTCTTAAGAGGCCTGTGCACAGGAGATGCACTCGCAATCTGACAGATTTGGAGTGTTTTTGCAAGGAAGAATGGGCAAATATTGCCAAGTCAAGATGTGCCATGCTGATAGACTCATACCCAAAAAGACTGAGTGCTGGAATAAAATCAAAAAGTGCTTCAACAAAGTATTAGTTTAAGGGTGTGCACACTTATGTAACCATATTATTTTAGTTTTTTATTTTTAATTCCCTCCACCTAAAAGATTTCAGTTCATTGTTCAACTGAGTTGTACAGTTTATAGGTTACACTAAAGAGATAAGAAGCATCCACGTGCACCAATCCAATATTTCCTCAAGCTGAATTTTGTAGGGATAGCAGACCCAGCTGCTAGAAGGTGGTCATTGTGCTTGCATGGACAACATCTCTCCTATTGCTTAAGAAACCTTACCTATTACATCAGATCTCTAGCAACATTGTATTTATACCAATTACCAATCTACTGTAAGCCGGACAATGCTGATGAACGTCACTTGAATTACACTTACAGTGGCTTGACTGCTCATGACAACACTGTAGATATGGGAGTCACAAAATTCACAATTTATATTTAGCTAACAGTTCTGCCTTTGCAAAACAGAACCTTTTGTGCATGAAGAACAGATTTGGAAAAATGCAAATATACACCTTCATTGAAGCATGTGTTCCATTGTAGTTGGCATTATATACATTGCACAGCATTCACATTACATACCTCGCTATCAAAGCATGACTGGTGTTCGTCTGCTGAGCAGCATTTTTGACAAACTTTTCTAAAGGCTTCAATAACCTCTTTAAGTTTTTCACTTCCACAGTCAGGCTTCATTTTCATGAATTCCAACAACAATCTGTAAATAAAATTACATCACATTAAGCCACAGCAAAATGTTAGGAAAATAAATGTATGACCTCATGCATTCTTATTGTATGTTCCAATTTAAGGTTGCAAAAAGGTTGCAAAAGTTCCTGTTAGGTAGTTATTAATTACTTCTAGTTGGCAGGTGTGATAGAGTGCGGTTTTGAAAGATACATGGACACAAACCCAAATTATATCTAAAGAATTTTTTTGTTGTAGATAGAGCAGAGGAGGGGTTGAGCCTTCCCCGAGGTCTCTGCAAAGACCAGCTGCTGATTAACATGCCTGTGAACTATTTTTAAAAAACAATGTAACATTTAGGTATCACCCAGATCCTCTGTCTTCTGAAAGGACAAACAATCCCTTTTTTTGGTCAATCCATAGCCTTAAATCTTGATGAAGGGGGTAGGTATTAGCCTCTAAAATGCATTGGTTGTTTATTTGTGGTACCTGTGGACTTTGATACATTCGTGTGGTGCTCAATTCAGTCTCGCTCCACATTAGCATTGGAAGCTTGACTTACCTGGTCTGTCACTGTGGCCTTTGCTTTAATGAATAGATTTGTTATAGTTCTGCAGAACTGAATTTCATAATGAGTCTCACCTGTACCTGATCATGTGACCAGTCAGGGTGATTGGCCATCTAATTGAGTTCATCCTGTTTCCGTGGCACAGTGGTCAACAAACTGTGACACAAGAACTGGATATGGCCCTTTGCTTGCTTTTATCCAGCCCTTGGGGCACTATTCCATCCATCCACTGACACCAATAATTGGGCATATGCTCTTCCAATTACACCAATAAAGGGGTATCAATAACTGGGTATATGCCCTTCCAATTACACCAATAAAGGGGCACCAATAATTGGGCATATTTCCATCCAATGACACCAATGAAGAGGCACAAATCCTCACAACTACACCAAAAATGGGCCACAATTCTTCCCACTAACACCAACGATGGGGCACTATTCCTTTCACTGACACCAACCGTTGGGGATATGTCCTCCCACTGACACCAATGAATGGGCATAATTCCTGCTAATGACACCAATGATGTGGCACTAATTCTACCACTGACACCAACAATGAGGCATTGTTTGCTCCCATTGACACCAGAACATTTTCTACTCCCTCTAGCCTCAGTCCAGTCCTTGCAGAGCCTGAAGGACAGTGTACTGGCCCTTTGTTATGAAAATTTGACGACCCCTGACTTGGTAGAATATTGTTTCTACATGCATGAATCCTGAATATTGCATAATGATACTTCTACTGCTACTTTAACGGTCTTTGGCTTATGACCCAAATGATGATTCTCTGACACCTGCGCTGCCTCTTGCATGTGATCATGACACAGATTCTCTGCCATGTCCCCTTTCTACAGATGCATTCCTACCAGAGGGTGAATTTCCTAAATGGAGACACAGCAAACCTAAGAGGGGTTCAAACCTTACCTAACACTCCTGAAGGCCCTATGTACACTATGGGGGAGATTTCCTAAAAAGTGTTCGTGGATAATCTGGCGCAACTCCAACCAATCAGCTTCAATGTTTTATTGTCAAAGCTTAATTGAAAAATATGAAGTTAGAAATTGATTGGCTACCATGCACAGCTGTACCAGATTCTGAGTGCTCCAGTTTTAGTAAATCTCCCCCAGTGCAAGAAAAATTTGGATCTGGTGACATTTTTAGGGGACAATTTCATTAATGAAGAACTAAACTTCATTCAATATTATACATTTCTCAGATCTGAACAGAAAATAAAACAATAGGCAGGGTTAATTTTAGCGCAAGCTAGCACTGACGAATCAGAGTACAAACAATTAAAAAGGGAAGACATGTAAATTACACACCATAGAATCACAAGTTAGCCCATGTTTGCATGCATTGTGTTGAGAGACAATCCTTATAGCCTCTTTGTCAGTCTTTAGTCCTGTGAAATTTTCTCATGACTGTTTTTTTACAACTTACGTAATTTTTTTCCTTAGCTGGTCATCTGCTGAACCCTCACACAAGTCAGCAGAAAAGTGGAGCTGACTTTCATCCCATTTTTCTGCTACATATTTAGGATAAGGTTCCATTTTCATGAAGCATGGTCTTCTATCAGCATACGAGTTGATGCAACATTTGTGAACGTTATCATTTATGACTGCAGTTTTTTCCTTTTCACACATCTCTCCCAAAAGAATATCCAACTGTGATGTGAAATATTAGAAAATATATAAAGATTTAGTGTGAATATTTAAACAGGATTTCTAAATCAGAAACAATGGGATGTTTAAAGCAAACATATGGTTATAGTAAAAAAATGGAATTTAATTTTCAATCTACAATAAATATTACTTGGATGAATGACACTTAAGCTCCCTGGCGGTATGATTATTTCATATTTTTGGTGCTGAAAGCGCTGCAAGTGGTTCTGATTTACTATCGCTGTTCTCTAGCTGGTCTAAAACCGCTTTTGACCTAAAGGGACGCTTTTTGGACGCCATGGACGTTTCTCAGTTTCCAGGCAGAAAGAACAGTAAAAATGTAGGCAGGGCACAGGACAAAGCACTCGGGACAAAATGTATGTGAAATGGTTTGATACAGTAATTTTAGTGATTTTAGTGAATGTCACTTTTTGTCATTTTTGAATTTCCCACCGTTCCGTCCCCCATACGTCCTGATGCTCGCAGGGGATGGAACCCAGATGACAGATGCCGGCATCCACCGGATTACATTGCCGGGGACACTGCAGGAGAGACATCGTGGGAGCGCAGGACAAGGTAAGTGACCGAGGGATCGTGGAGCAGTGCCGCATGGTATTCCGGAGTGTAGCTCGGGGTTACCGCTTGTGGTACTGAAACTTTACCCTGAGCTACACTCGGGAATACCGCCAGGGAGGCTACATTTGACATGTATCCTTTGCTATAACCTAAGGCTGGCCATACATTAAACAATTTTCTTATACAACCTTCCTTTAGATTTACCAAAACCATATGATATGAGGTCAAATCTAAACACTTTCAATTTGTATGTCATCAGGCAGGCCCTTGCACTACATAGTTGAAGGTAAATCTAAAGGAAATTGAGCAAGAAAATTGTATAATATATGACCAGCATATAGTACATTAACGAAAATGCAGAAAATGCAACCCAACTATAAAGCATGGCATGGTTTGAAGTTTCTTTTCTGCTTCAGGTCATGGGCAACTTGCAGCCATCCAATCAACAAATAATTCTGCATCATATTAAAGTGTACTTGATGAGAATGTGAGGATATCTGTCTAAAAGTTTAATTTACACTGGAAATACACCACAGGGTGGCTCAAAGAAAGAAATGAAAGTCAATGGACTGGACTAGGCTAGTAAGATCCCTAACATGTTGTGTAAACCAACACAAATCTTGCAATTAGAATTTTGCATAAAGGTGTAGTCAAAAACTTTACAGAGTCCATGTCAGAAACTGGTGGATAATTACACAAAAACACCTACAAGTAATTTCTTCTAAAGTGGTCAAACCAGCTTCGTAAGTCAAAGGTGTCCTTACTAGACCATTACATCTATTGATATTTTGGTTGAATTGGGAATTTTGAAAATGCAAATTTTGTGTGTGTTTTTTCTGCAGGAACTGTTTGAATAAAAATCTAATGTTTGTCGGTTCAGTTATGTTGAAAAGTCAACAATTTCCATGGGTGTACTTTCTTTTTGATGCACTGCATATTGTTTTATGGGTAGTTTTAGTTGTTGCAAGAACTATGCCTAAGCAGTAAAGACACTACATGTTTGGCCACTTTTAACTGGATGCTTTGAAGTGGAACTTCACTTTCTCAATCAACATTGACTATTTTGAATCTTTATGCTACTACATTACTAAATGGTTAGGAAAGTATATCATATTTACTTGTTTTACATTTTTTTTAAATTTCTTCAGTTACTTCCTGGTTTTCATGCCTAGGCAAATGATGTCATACATCCCAGGGGTCTTCAGAAGGGGAGGGAAAGTTGTCAGCTTAGCCAATGTCTGAGCTAATGGAAATTGGATTTCAAGAAGTAAATAATGCATGAATCATCTGCTCTTACTCAAGATGGCCACTGCCAGAAATGCCAGGGGGCGTTTTTCAAAATGAATTCTCAGCAAAATAAAGCATGTAGACATGGATGGATGGGGGGTTTGCTTTGAGTATTAACAATGAATTAAATACCATTTTTGGTTTGTGGTACTCAGATAGACTGCAGTTTCACTTTAAATATTTAAATTTCATAACTGCAAATTTTTAGGGCAGCAAGGCCCTTTGATAGGACAGAATAGCAGTTCAAGGGACCATAAGCTTTGTAATTTTGACTTAATGCGGTTCAAAAGCGAAAACTTTTTTTATCTTAATGCATTCCCTGCATAATATTCCCTGCTATATATCCTACCAAGAATATTTAATTATGTTTCTAGTATACAAAATAAATCTGCCTAATATTAGATATTCTACAGAAAAGGAGAAGAACCAACCTTTTCTTCAGCGCAGATTTGCTTCTTGTTGTCAGCCATGCCACAGCAGTAGACACCAATCTTGGTCATTCTACCAGTTAAGTCAGCAAGTGTTGGGGCTGATACCTGAGGCATCTTTCCAAAGTATTTTACAGCCAGCCTGGAAGAAAGGAAAACCAGTTCTTAACAAAGAATTAATGGCTGACAGGACCAAAGACCAATATTTTAGTGTTGTATTTTCCACCAATCTGAAAGTCCAACTCCAGCTAAAACCTTTTTTTTCCTTAGCTTTCGCCAGAGGATGGAAGGGTTAGAGACTCCATTTATGGATATGGGGAGGGTGGATTAGAACATCTGCCAATTTTTTTATTGCCATATACCCATTTGGGAGGTTTCTCCAAACTTCCAATGTGTTGGAAAACTCCCACTTTCTGTTTATTTGAAGTCATCGCATAGAGCAGGAAGTGAGGGGAGGGAGAGAAGAAGGTTTGAAAACTCTTTCTGGAAAATCTGAAAGAAAAATTTCCTCAACAGAGCAGAGGTTTTAACCCTGTCTACTCTGGCTGATTTTATTAATTTATTACAGGTACTTATATAGCATTGTCAATTTATGCAGTGCTTTACATATATATTTTAAATGGTATAATGCACACTGTTGCATTTACTTGCATTTAAGTGGTGAGAATGACTACACAATTCCCTACTTCAACATCTAATTTATGGGTTTAAGGAACAAAAAAAAAGAGTAAAACTCCATTATAGGGAAAACAGCATTTAAAGTGTATCTCCACTTTTGTTGAGAAAAAAAAAAAACAATCCCCACTGCATAATTTACAGAATGTACAGTGCAAGGATTTTAACAAACTTTGTTACAGATTCCTACCTTTTGTATCTGAAAAAAATAGCTGTTTGTCTCTGTCCATGTGCAAAGTGAATGAGAATGGAAATGATTTTATAATTATCAATCAGTTGATGCAGCTGCAGAGTTCTAAAGTGGTGGGGTCTGCATCCCTTTAGCCATGGCTTTCCTTTGGGAGTATCTTACCAAAACTGAAATTTTTTTAAAGATTATGCCCAAAATCTGACTAGTATCTTAGTGCAGATTTTTGAGAAAATCAGTAAGCCAATCACACAAGCAGGGAATGGCATTCCTGGTGGCATTCCATACACCATCTGTGCACAGAACACCTCCAGGTAGCTATATTGCATTGCATTTTACAAAAAAATTATAGCACTGCAGATAGAAAAGGAGAGGTAATTTTTAATAATAGTCAATTACAATATGACTTGTGTAGCAATTTTATACGCTTTTTTTTGCTATTTTTGCTCACAAAAGTGGAGGTACCCTTTAAAATTTGAAAGAAAAATCTCCTCAACAGAGCAGAGGTTTTAACCCTGTCTACTCTGGCTGATTTTATTTATTTATTAGAGGTACTTATATAGCATTGTCAATTTATGCAGTGCTTTACATATATATTTTAAATGGTATAATGCACACTGTTGCATTTACTTGCATTTAATTGTATTAGCTGTTTAGCTGTGTTTAGAAAATATAGAAATGTGTGCATCCAGTGGCAGAATAGAAACTCTGAATGCTTTAAATGCATGGAAATTTGTTTAAACGCATGTAAACACAGGTATATTTACTGTTTGCCTTAAGTTCAGCTTTGAACAATTCCATTACAATGTACAATGCTTAGTTTTGTTTTCTACCAAATTTAGCTCCTTCTGATATGTGAATCTTTGCTTATGTTATATGACTTTAGATAAAATGTTACCTTTCAGGCTTCATTTACTTTTGTGCAACTCCAAAGTTGTGCAATTGACATTGCGACTTTACATTGAGACTTTGATGAAACTTTGGATGGGGGCAACTTGGATGCAACTTTGGCTATTGACTTTGGCTTTGACTGTTGCACAACTGTCACATTAATAACATTAAGAGGTGACTTTCATGTGACTTTTGAGAGTTTACATTGAATTCTTTTGAGCTCAAGTCACATGAAAGTCACATTAAAGTAGTGTAGGAACCTTTTTAAACTCGTTTTGACTTTAGTTCGCATAAATTGAAACAGCTTCCATTGAAATACATGGGTTGCGACTTGTCATGTGACTTTATGTGTCCAAAGTCGCATGACAAGTGGTACAAGTGTGAATTGAGCCTAAAGATGAACAGATATGTACGTTACATATTTTAACTTACATAACATAAAAATCATTTAACCCGAGTTTCTCCAAGCCACCACAGTTCTGTTTTGTTAACTCTTCATTTGCCGTCAATGCAGCTTCTAACAATTTAGGCTGAAATGAAAATAAAATAAATATTTAAAATAAAAAAACACATTTACTATTTAACTGTGCTATCAGTGTAGCACCCTCCTAGTTAGCTAGGGGGAGCTAGCTGATTATTTTTTAGACAGAAAGGCTGAGTAGCAGCCTGGGCAATAGTCAACTGGGTCAAATTTAGGTCAGGGCTGAGAGGCTCTGCAGATCAGTTCCTTGATATCTCCCCCTGCTCTAGAATCTTGGAGAAGATTCTAGAAGCAGTGGGCGGGGGTGAGGAGTGCTGGTCTGCATACTCAAGGGACTCTAGCCAATTCCAAAGCAGGGGGCTTGGCATGGGACCAGAGCAGCCCTTAAGTATGAGTGAGCCTGCTCAGCAGCAGCAGAGTTTGGGTGAAAGATGTGAGGAAGATTGAGATGCAGGAGCCTGGGAGGGGGCTCAGTGGGAAGGGGCCCACCTGCAGGCAGGATCTTGGAAGTTGGATCGCTCAGCCTCACCGGTCCCCAGAGCCAGGACCACCTGTAAAGCCAGGAAAGGAGCCAGCCTAGCATAAGGCCTGAAGGCAGCCACCTACCTACATCAGCTCACAGGAGAGAGACTGAGTGAGTAATCCTACACCCCCTTGGCCAGTTAAGGGTAAAAAAGCACTCTGGTGGGAAACCTGATTAGCTTCTTACCTGGGACTGTTCAACTTACAGTGGCAGGCACTGGATCGACTTGCCCAGGGATTCCTCTAGACAGCTGGGTAAAGAGGAGGATTTATCTGGGGTCTGGGGTGGTACACTAGGAGAGTCTAGAGAGCTCTCCAAGAAGAAAAACCCTCTTGTACATAGTTGCTAAGGTGTTTGTCCTCAGTTTACTCTTCTTTGGGCGTCCCATACACCCCATGCCCCATCCAAGTTCAATATTCCTAATAAAACTAAAAAAACAACCTCAGGGACTGTCTACTGTCTCCAGAATGCAAGCCTATGAAGAATACATGTTGCCTGGCTGTGCAGTACTATAGGGGGACCCAAATCTTCAGCAACTCCTAAGGGGGTAGTACTACATCAGTAACATTCATATACATACCGCTTCTTTGAGACACTCAGCATGGTTTGCACTAGCACAGCACTGTTCAAGTAGCCCTTCATATCCTTTAGCAACTCGTAGACAAGATTGAGGTGCTGATTCCTGGTGACTTCTGGAATAATCATGTGCAAAGCTGTAGAAACAAACGCAAATGACTGTTTAAAGTGACATAACCAGGACATGAAATATGCACTTTTAACACTCTGATGTTTTAACAAAACCATGCATTCACTTATAATGGAACGTCAGGCAATTAACATTAACTACTTGTAATCCCTATGGTGCTAGCATTAGTAAATAGATAGGAAAGTATACTATATTTACTTCTTTTAACCTTTTTTTACATTTCTTCAGTTGCTTCTTAGTTTCTGGCTTAGGCCATACATCCCAAGAGTCTTCAGGAGGGGAGGAGGGGTTTTCTCAGCTAAGCACACCCTCTGCCTTCATGCCTGAGCTAAGGGCAGAAGGATTCCAGGTAAATGCTGCATAAATAATTTGCCCTTACTCAAGATGGCTACAGCCAGGAATGCTAAGTGATGTTTTTCAAAGTGATTTCTCAACAAAAAAAATCATGTAGACATGGATGGATAGGGGAGTTTGGTTTGAATACTAAAATTGAATTAGATAGTGTTTTCGCTTTGTGGTACTCAGATATCATTAAAGCTCTGCTGTAAGTTATTATGTGCAAAACATACAATGGAATGTATAGTGTTTTCATACAGATTTGTACTGTCTTTATTCATTATGGTTGGAATTAGAGAATACAGTCTTAAAGCCCAATTCCAGCTTAGGCCAAGGAACAGATTTGTTGCCCTAATGATGGCCAAAAATAAATAAAGTAGCCCTTGCTGCTATACTCATCCAATCTTCAGCGTTGTCTCCAGCAGATTCCCTGCTGCCATTCTTTTTCCAGGTTGAATGAAACCCATCATCATTCATCCCATTTACTGTGAGCCCAGGGCATCAAGGCTCAATCCCCTGCCCTGTTGCAGTGAGCAGTGCTGAATCATTACATGTAATGCCCCCTATATTAAACCCACAATGCTCTTGTTATCCTTTTTCAAGGGTGTCACTGGGAAATCAAAGACTGTACATAAATATATATTTAAACATACACTATATTGCCAAAAGTATTGGGACGCCTGCCTTTACATCCACATGAAGTTTAATGACATCCCAGTCTTAGTCCGTAGGGGTTCAATATTGAGTTGGCCCACCCTTTACAGCTATAACAGCTTCAACTAGTCTGGAAAGGCTGTCCACAAGGTTTAGGGGTGTGTCTATGGGAATATTTGACAATTCAGAAGTGCATTTGTGAGGTCACTGATGTCGGACGAGAAGCCTGGCTCACAGTCTCCGCTCTAATTCATCTCAAAGGTGTTCTATCGGGTTGAGGTCAGGACTCTGTGCAGACCAGTCCAGTTCCTCCACCCCAAACTCGCTCATCCACGTCTTTATGGAGCTTGCTTTGTGCACTGGTGCACAGTCATGTTGGAACTGTTCCCACAAAGTTGGGAGTATGAAATTGTCCAAAATGTCTTGGCATGCTGACACCTTAAGAGTTCCCTTCACTGGAACTAAGGGGCCAAGCCCAACCCCTGAAAAACAACCCCACACCATAATCCCCCCTCCACCAAACATTACACTTGGTACAATGCAGTCAGGCAAGTACTGTTCCTATAGCAGCTACCAAACCTAGACACGTCCATCAGATTGCCAGATATAGAAGCATGATTTGTGACTTCAGAGAACACGCCTCCACTAGAGTCTGGTGGCGGCATGCTTTACACCACTGCATCCGCATTGCACTTGGTGATGTAAGGCTTGGATGCAGCTGCTTGGTCACGGAAACCCATTCCAAGAAGCTCTCTACACACTGTTGTTGTGCTAATCTGAAGACCACATGGAGTTTGGAGGTCTTTAGCTATTGACTTTGCAGACAGTTGGCGACTTCTTCGCACTGTGCGCTTCAGCATGCGCTGACCCCGCTCTGTCATTTTACGTAGCCTACCACATCGTGGCTGAGTTGCTGTTGTTCCCAGTTCCTTCCACTTTGTTATAATACAACTAATAGTTGACCATGGAATATTTTAGTAATGAGGAAATGTCACATATGGACACAGGTGGCAACCTATCACGGTACCATGTTTGAATTCACTGAGCTCCTGACAGCGACCTATTCTTTCACAAATGTTTGTAAAAGCAGTCTGCATGTCTAGGTCCTTGATTTTATACATCTGTGGCCATGGAGGTGATTGGAACACCTGAATCCAATGATTTGGAGGGGTGTCCTAATACTTTTGGCAATATAGTGTGTATACAGTATATAAAATATCAGTTTTAAGACTTTTGAACTTCAGAATAAAACTGACCCTAAATGACATGTTAAATGCAGAGCAGAGAATGAGAGGCAGCATGGTTGTGCTGGATGCAGGGCGGGAGCAGAAACTGCTCAGTAGCCCCCCCCTCCCGGAGATCTTACTCTATGTTGTCCAGGTAGATCGCAACCTCTGAAAGGTTGCCTATCCCTGCCCTAAACTGACACTTTTTCCCTTTAACCTGTCAGAATAAAATGATCCAATATAACACACATTTTCAATAATGTGAGACTAATATAAATAATATTAAAGTAGTCACTAACACATCTGCAAGTATGCAGGGGCTTGTGTATCCTAGCGTCACCCCCTGAAGAGTGATCCACAGATGAAGTGTTTTCAAAGTGCAATTAACAGGCAGCTGGAAGGCTTGCTGTTGCTTTTTCACCTTTTTACACTAAAAAACCTGCACCACTTCTACACGGTTGCAGGGTGGTTGTTGCACTGCCCCATTCACTTGACTTGGTCATGTTTGTCAGTGGTACTGGCCGCCAAAATGCAGGCAGTAAGCAGCATGGCATGGAGATATCTAAAGGCATCCTGGATCTGAGCTGTGGGGCTGCTGAGGTAAGTACCAGCTGTACAAAGCTTACCCCTTATCACCCCAGATGTGGTGGCTGTGCTAATTTTCTATTTTCAGTCTTTTTTTCCTTTATTTTTACCTGCTAACCCTGCCAGTAACACATTTTCTATCCTACGATGAGAACATTCACTTACTGTCTTGCATCTATAAAGGATTTTTCTCCTAGGATGTGAAGTGGGTTAGGACTAAAGAACAATTTCCCCTTTCCTCAACTCCATCACATAGGGGAAGGTGGTCAGGTGATGTGACCGGAGCTGTGTCAGTCTGTTCAATCCTTTGTCTATGGCCTCCCAATAAGAGATGAGCTCAGCCATCCTTCAATCTCATCTCTAATCTGAGTTGCCGCTTTTCTGTACTCCCATGAATTCCAGCCTGCAGTTCATTGGAATACAAAAAGGCAGGAGTTCTGAGTTTGGGATATAGTTGAGTTTGGAGGACCTACAAGCTGACAGTAGTGACGGCAGCTTCACTACTCCTGTCAGCTTAGCTCTGAAGGTGACAAGCCACATCTGGAGATGAGAGAGCTGGGAGGTAGGACAGGTTGTGTTTTCTCTCCCCTCCAACTCCTTCTAATGCCACTGCAGCTCTCCTGGAATGAGACCTCTGGATCACCATTGTGCAGTGTTTGTTTACCCTTCCCCATCTCTTCCTAGAAAAGAATGTGGGTATGGTGTAGGTAAGCAAACACTGCACAGTGGCAATATGACAGCCAGTGGCATCTCTAGCGCGGGGCCCCAACGCTTTGATCCTGTAACCCACCTATAGTGCTTGAATTTTTTTTTTTTTGGGGGGGGGGGGAGATTTTTGCTGACACATAACATAATGCTCATACATTTTGAGAGGGGGGCGCCATTTGGTACCTGCGTCCTGAGCACTAGGTGACCTTGTTCTGGCACTGACTGTCATTAATGGCAATTTGTATAAACATTATAAGACATACTTACTGGAGGAGGTAGTGTGTCTTATCTTTTTGATAGTCTTCACACACATCATCATCTTCATAGTATTTTTTCAGTTCTTTGGACAAGTTAGATTCATCATTTGGTAGGGCAATAATACAGGGTGTTCGATCTAGAATATCTTTAGCACAACATTCTTCTAGTTTGCTTGATAATTTCTCCTTAGCTTCACAAATATGTTCCGTTGCGTCCATCTGTCAAATATATATAATACCAATGTATGATAACATCATCTTCATTGCATGTTCACTGTGTTCATACATCCGTTACCAATGAATTGAAAACAAACATGCTTCACAGATATAGGCCTAAATTGTTATCAGATGTCAAATTACTACTAAATGCTAAATCGGGTAGTAGGGCCCATATACACTTGTGGTCAACTGTGAAAAGCATTTTGGTTGCTTTTCATACAGTGGCAAGAGAGCGTCAGTGGCACCTCCTGAATTCTGAATTCCTGGGGGGGCTTTTGATAGTTGAAAGGGCTTTTTCAATGGAAATACTGCACCGCAACCGTAAACCTGGAGGTTGTGATGCAGCCCATTCACTTGAATATGTTGCATAAGTTAGCAGTACAGTCCACCCAATGCAACAGGGAGAATCATTTCTACCACATCAGGTGTGTAACTCTCCCCTACGGCTGCCTTTGGAGCTTAAAGTGGTTCTAAAGCCTTAAAGCGATTCTAAAGGTTAATTTTTTTGGGGTGGCAAAATAACAAACATGTCTATACTTACCCGCTGTGTGCAGTGGTTTTGCACAGAGCAGCCTGGATCCTCCTCTTCTCGGGTCCCCCGAAGGCTCTCCTGGCCACTCCCTCTTGTCTGGTGCCCCCACAGCAAGCAGCTTGCGATGGAAACACTCTCTTCTCCGTGTGTCCATTCAAACACGGAGCCGTGGCTTGGTCCCACCCCTCTCCTCATTGGCTAACTGGCTGCGATTGACAGCAGTGGGAGCCAATGGCTCCCGTTTCCTGCCTCAGCCAATGAGGAGGCAGAGACCTGGGACAGTCAAGGCTGTTGTACACATTGCTGGATAGCAAAGAGGATCAGGTAAGCATTGAGGGGGCTGATGGCACTGATGCACAGCGAAGGTTTTTTACCTTCATGCATAGAATGCATGAAGCTAAAAACCCTTGAGCCTTTACAACCACTTAGAGGATATTAAAACCTTCTGTGCTGCAGAATCCCCCCCCCCCCCAGCCCTCCTTATTCTTACCTGAGCCCATTCCGATCCACTCTCCACTGTCTCTCTCCTCCTTAGATTGATAGCAGTGGGAGCCAATTGCTCTCACTGCTATCAATCAAATGCTGTGCCAAGCGAGCAGAGGGCGGGGCTGAGCTGCCTGCTCTGTGTCAATGGATGCAGACAGGGCAGCTCAGGAGCGAGCCCACACAGGTGCCTCCATGAAAAGCGGCTTTCCATGGGGGCACTCGCCAAAGAGAAGGAGTCTGGACCGCCAGTGGGGGCTTAAGAAAAGGAGGATCTGCTCTGTGCAAAACCACTACACAGAGCAGGTAAGTATAAAATGTTTGTTATTTTAATTTAAAAAAAAGGAAGCTTTAATGTCACCTTAAAGTATGAGTGAATCCTCACCTTGTAAACCATCCCATTCAGTTTAGAATAGAAATGAAAGGTAAAACATTTGTGTAAAGATATAAAAACCATTATAAATAAATGTTTTCCTCTTTTATATAAGTCATCACATAACCTCTGTTTTCAGCTGCATAAGGAGCTTAGAGAGCAGGGGGAGGAGAAACAGCAGGACACTGAACTTCCTAGTGAATGACTGTGCATGGGGGTGGGGCATGTCAGCACAAGACTGTAGGAGAGTAGGCTGAGTTCTCAGCACAGCCAGAAAACTGACTACTCTGTGCTCCCATGCCTAGTGTGGTCAGTTTTTAATAGGAAAGCAGAGGGACTGGCAGGAACACCAGGGGTTTCACAAAAATAAGCAATACAAAGAGGAGAGGATACCTTTTCATACAAGTACATGATACAGCAGGCACATATCAGGAATATAAAATATAGTTTTTTTGTGTTGTTTAAGGTGGGTGGTAAAAACACAGCTCAACTACCTGTTTTTACCACCTCCGAACCACAGGTATAAACAAGGCCCAAATGTGATGAAGGAAATATTAAATTATTTGGTGGACAGACTTACCCTTTCAAACATACATTCGATAGAATTACCAGTGCAACAGTCTTTATTCATATGTACAATTTCCAAGGCGACTTTTTCCACATCTTCAAATTCTGCCTTACCAAATTTTTGGGCGACTTGAACTCGTATTCTAATAAATGTGAAAGAAGCTATTACCACATCGAAAAAAAAGGCTTGTTCTTGTAAACAGGAACATATATTGTTTATATAGTTGATAAAACAACATTTTAATTACTGTGTTAAAATATTTTATATATAATCTTAAAGTGTTACTAAACCCAGGACTCTGCATTCACTATATCTGGTCTCCCACAGTACATGGGAGTGCAATTATTTTAGTAAATATAAACTGCTAAATACCTTTCCTCATCAGCAGTTAGAGCAGTCTTGTGACTTCTATCAGTGTTCTGCAGAGCACTGGTTAAAGCTTGTAGAAGGAGATTTCATTCTGCTCTAGGAGGATGCAGAATCCCTGACCACTGTCTGGACAGTGCTGATTGATCCTGTGCTGATCAAATGCACTCTCCCAAGAGAAAAAAAAAAACCTCTCTAGCAATACACACCAAACTGAGCATGTGCAGAGTGACTCCACACATATGTCTATTAGGATATAAGAGGGGGACACTGGAAGAAGGGGAGGAACAGAGAGGACAGGATCAAACAGCCTTTTTACACAATGCTAAGGATTAACCCCTTAGGTTCCACAGTGAGTATAACAAGCATGCTTTACTGCATGTACACACTGATTTTACTGTTGTGGGTTTAGTAACACTTTACATTGTTTGTAAAGCCCAGACTTTTTTGCTCATTTTTGCTGGAGTCAGAAATCCCCATTAAGCTTTTATTGTTGTATGTGTACATTCAGTGAGGCTGATTCAGTAAGGACCCAGTCAGACCTAAGTGTCCTGGTGTGTTGTGTTAATGCATGTTTTTTTCACCCATTAACATGTGTAGTGTTAAGGCACCACATTCAAAAATTCTGAAAACCATTTATCATTTTCCTTCCACTTCACAATTGCTTTATGTTGGTTTATCACATAAAATCCCAATAAAACACATTTACGTTTTTAGTTGTAACATGACAAAATGTGGAAAATTTCAAGGGGTATGAATACTTTTTTAAGCCACTGTAATTCAGCCACACATGCAGACCGAGACTCTCAGACACGGCTAGTGTACCCACCCACATTTACTACAAATCCGTGTGGTTGATGGGAACTGTAGTTTCCTTTTACTGCAGAGAGAGAGGAGAGGATACAATGTCATCCCTGCTGTTACATCTCCTCCTTGGCAGAGTAGATGCTGTTCTCTTTTGAATTACAGAGATGAGGTCATGGAAATTCAACTAGACCTTTCTCCTAAATGGTAAGGGTGTTCAACGTTTTATTAACGGTTTAGTGTTTTGAGTAGGGTGTGTACTAATGGGTGATTTTTTTTTCCTATCCCGAAGTTCTTCTTTAAGAAAGAAGTATCATCACAACTTGAAAATAGTTTTTGAACCCCACAGGAGACCAAGTGTATGTAATGTTTGGTCCCATTCAGATCTGTGTTGTTGATGAGCTCAACTGCTTGCCACCCCTTCGATTTCCCAACCCCAAAATGACAGGATGGAGCATATTGATAGTAACATAGTGGTTAAGATACTCTGGCAGGCATACTGTATGGGTTTATGTAATATTGAATGTATATACATTAGATCTTAGTACGTAAGGCACCCACATGTCTGACATATTTTAATTTACACAATCTCATGATACATAGTTTTGTTTTTATAATAAATCTTTATGTATTTTGCTTTGTTTGGTCTATGGAAGGCCATAGATCAGGAATGTTTTTGACATTTAAGCGTGATGCACAAAGCAAGCAAAGCTAAATAAGTGAGCATAGGTAAACCTTTCACAACGAAGCTTGTACAATTATAATAATACATGATATGATTACAATTAAAGAGCAAATATTAAAATCCAACCATATTGTTTTTCCATTTACATAATACAAAATGTTAACAGATTTATAGGATCCTCTAGGTTGAACCAAAGTGAAAAATAATTACTGCAAGCAGCTTTCTGCTGTAATCTTTTTTTGCTCACCCAGAAATTGTGTATCTAAGATTACGTTATATAAAAACTGGAACCGAGTGAAATATTGGCGCTGCCATTCTTCTAAAAATATTATTGCTGGGCTGAAACCAACTTATTTTATTTATTTCAGGTTATTGTAAATTGACATAAATATATTAGGGCAGCACAGTGGCTAAATGGTTAGCACTTCCGCCTGGCAGTACTAGGGTCATTGGTTCAAATCCCAGCCACGGCACCACCTGCCTGGAGTTTGCATGTTCTCCCTGTGCCTGCGTGGGTTTCCTCCCAAACTCCAAAGACATCCTGGTAGGTTAATTGGCTCCTGTCTAAATTGTCCCCAGTATGTGTATGTATGAATGTGAGTTAGGGACCTTAGATTAAAACACCCCTTGAGGGTTAGGGACTGATGTGAGTGTACAATATATATGTAAAGCGCTGTGTAAATTGATGGTGCTATATAAGTACCTGAAATAAACAAATATTATACATAACCCTCAAGGGGTGTACAATCTAAGGTCCCTAACTTACATTCATACACATACTAGAGCCAATTTAGACAGGAGCCAATTAACCTACCAGCATGTTTTTGGAGTGTGGGAGGAAACCAGAGTACCATGCAAAGTCCAGTCAGGTGGCGCTGTGGTTGGGATTCAAACCAACGACCCTAGTACTGCCAGGCGGAAGTGCTAATCATTTAGCCACTGTGCTGCCCAGCTGCCCCCTGAATTACTGACCCAGTGTTAAGAGTCATACACATAAAGTCACAGTGAAGTTAAGGCTCCCAGTCTGCAAGCTTGATCTTTCAGCCCGTTCACACTGGAAATCCCCTCTGAAGAGCGATCTGTGGTGAATCGCTTTTCAAAAGGCATTTGGCAAATGGTTAGGAGTCAAAATGATCAGCTGTCTGAACTGTCAAAGACAACTGTGAATGGGGTTGATTTACTAAAGGCAAATAGGCAGTGCAATTGCTCTGGATATGATTAGAACATGCAAGGTAAAAAAAAAATTTTTTTGTTTGTACATGATTGGATGATAGAAATCAGCAGAGCTTTGCTTCATTTCAGAGCTTCCCCCCAGGCCTAGAGCTATTGCATATTCAGTGAACAGTATGTTTGCCTTTAGTAAATCAACCTCAATGTGTACTAATGATCAGGATCCAGCGAGCGCTGTGACAGCCAATGACAGTGGTCACGTGATTAGGTAGACCTTCCCACCCCCCCCTGGGTGTAATAGCCCAGACAACGGTATGCCGAAGCAGGCAGGCGGGCGGTAAGGGCATAAAGATAGAAATAAAGCTCTCCACACTTCCTCCACATATCTTTACTGGATTAGAGATAGATACTTACAGGTCTGCAAAAACTTTTTCTGGGAAGTCTGCAAGAATACGACATTTCTGTTTATGTTTATCTTCAAGATAGTGTGTTAATTTTTTTACCTGAGTCATCTGCAAAGGAAAACAAAATATATAAAGAACATACTTGTGTAAAAATAGGCTGCTAACAAATACAGGTAAATATACACCACCCTTCACGTGGACCCTAAATAAAATATTTCGAGATCTGCAAAAGAAAGCATTTTTACAAATATGACAGAAACATATCGTTGCATTTACAAGTACAAAGCACACAAGTAACAGCAGAGTTTATGTGTTTGTGTACAGGGGCAGACTGACAACTCATAGGGCCCCCGGGCAATAGGAGATCATAGGGCCCCTGTGTCCTTGCCCAAACTCAAAAAAGCCTATGAAAAAGGTACCAGGGGCATCTCATGGGGCCCCCTATTGACCCGAGGCCCTCGGGCAGTGCCCGAGTTTCCAAATGGTCAGTCCGCCCCTGTTTGTGTATAATATACTTTGTGCACTGTTTGTATTTATCTATTGTTTACAGTGCTGCCTAGCTCAAGCTGAAACCTTAGGGCTCTTTCACACGGACGTACCGATGGGGTCCGCTTGTCCTTTTTTTCAGACGGACACGATTGGAATCTCTATTCTCCTCTATGGAGCGGCAGGTGTAATTAGACATGTGTCCATTTACATCTGCCGACATCCAATCCGATCCGCCAAAAAGGGACAGATGGGGATTCAATACCCCTTCCATGCGTTGGATCGGGTCGGATGAAAATGGACATTGAGGAGAGAAAAGCAAAGCAGCACAGCTCTTTGTCAGTGGAGCAGACACAGAGCTGTCATCCGCGTGCTCAGCGGGGATCAGCGGAGAGATCCCCCCCCCTCTGAGCAAGGGGTCTGCCACATGTGAAAGGACCCTAAAGGATAAGTTCACCTTTCATAACATGTTACACCCATATTCAGGGTGTAACATGTTATGAAAGCACCCCACTGATCCCCCACTTTGAGCAAGGGGTCTGCCACATGTGAAAGGACCCTAAAGGATAAGTTCACCTTTCATAACATGTTACACCCATATTCGGTGTGACATGTTATGAAAGCACCCCACTGATCCCCCACTTTGACAGCTAGCAGGGGGATCTTTGCCTCCCTGCTAGCTGTCAAATTAAAAACAAAATATGACCGTGCAAGGCTTCACCCGTCCAGCAGGGTCACTCCTCTGTGAATGAGAAACTACAAGTCCCGAAAGCCTTAGCGGCTGTGGGATTGTAGTTCTCACCAGGGGGAACTGACCATTTGGAAACTCGGGCACTGCCCGAGGGCCTGGGGTCAGTAGGGGGCCCATGAGATGCCCCTGGTACCTTTTTCATAGGCTTTTTTGAGTTTGGGCAAGGATACAGGGGCCCCATGATCCCCTATTGCCCGGGGGCCCCATGAGTTGTCAGTCCGCCCCTGGTTCTCACTGAACTAACACGGCGCTGTGGAGCACCGGGATAGTTCATTTAGTCTTCCTGTCAGGTGATAAATAAACTCCTGTGATGTTAATACCCCACACAGTGTACAAACTTGTAAATAAATATACATAAACCAAAAATGATTGAATAGAATGTACATGAAAACATCCAAATTGTGGATAATAGTGAATACCACCCAAACGTATAAGGTGTAACCTAGGTACACCACTAGAAATAAAATAGGTGACTATGGGTGAACAAAACACATAATTACACAAAACAATATTGAATAGAATGCACATAAAAACATCCAAATAGTGGATAATAGTGAATACCACCCAAACGTAAAAGGTGTAACCTAGGTACACCCCTAGAAATAAAATAGGTGACTATAGGTGAACAAAACACATAATTACAAAGTAAATATTTATATATATATATATATATATATATGTATATATATGAAATATATATTACTTCTTTTTGATTTGTGGCCAAAATAAAAACCGTGATATGATCTTATTGAGGATCCCAAAACTCAGTGATACAAATACAACACAAATAATATCCTGCAACTGATTAGTTGCTCTAGGAAATGCTCCCAAAATTTAAGTGTTCACAGCTGTGGAGCATCGTGATAGTTCATTTAGTCTTCCAGTCTTCCTGTCAGTATATCTGCCTGTACGGGCAAACACATATACTGACAGATCTGCAGGAGACCTGCATGGCACCAGCGATCAGCAGATCGCTAGTGCAATGCTTTCCGGGCTCCTGCAGCAAAAGATAATAAATGCTAATTTTTTTACCTGCAAAAAAATGTACATTTATTATCTTTTATTGAAAGGTGAACTTATCCTTTAAGCCGACCACAGATAAGTCAAAAACTGAACGTTCTGTTGATCAATAAACGAAAACAGCTTATACAATTGTGCCATCATTTTTCTCATTTTTAAAAAAAAAAAAAAATCCAGCATGTTGGATCAGGCACTTTTGATTGTGGCACAAAAATTGCATGTCACAGCTGGCACACTAATGATACAAAAAACAAATGATTCAACAACCAACAAGAATTTCCGTTCGTTTTTTTTTACTCTTCTATGGCCGCTTTATAAACAAATGACCCTTTGCAGTGACTCATTCCTTATTGGACATTTCTGCCCGAGGTCTTAATCATGAGAGATGAGACAGCGTGAGAAAATGTAAGCTACTGCCAGGCTATCTATAGCTAACTCATAGGGTTCTGTGAGTCACTTGCCATGGATTAAATGTCTATTTGTAAAACAATTGTATATATAGAAAAAAAAATGTAAAAATCTATTTAAAAACTAAGAAATGTAAAAAAAAATTACATTGTCCACAAAATCTTTATAGATTCCCTTTAATGGTTTTTCTTTTGAGGTAATAAAACCTATTACACATTATGGCCGCATTCAGTGTCCAACCTGCATTTATATGAGTTCAGAGGATATTTCTAAATGCATGAAATTATTTTTTCTTCGTGCTTTTACATGCGTTTAGATGAGGTCAGTTTAGCGTTAAAATAGAATTTTATGTTCCTGATCTGCACACTCTTCGGCTGGCTGGACAGCTGAACAAGGCAGGGCTTTCTGTTATAGTAAACAGGACGCGATGACCTGACATCACTTCCAATTTACTTAGAAGCAAACGGCACTATGTAAAAAAAAAAAAGCATTCAAAAACACAAATCTTGCAGCTTTCAATGCTATTAGGTGCAGAGGAGGGATTTGGGTTCTTATAGACCCCAGATCTCTCCCTAAAGAGCATATGTCACGTGTCTATTGCTGTCACAAGGGATCTTTACAATGCTTGTGACAGCAATAAAAGTGATAAAAAAAAAAATTAAAGCAACAGTGTAAAAATATATATTTTTTAAATTAATTAATTCATTAATAATTTTTAAAAAATGCCCCGTCCTCCTGTGCTCACGCGCAAAGGCGAATGCACGCTTCGGTCCCGCACACACGGAAACAGCAATCGACCCACACGTGAGAGGTATCACCGCAAACATCAGATCATGGACAGTAATTCTAGCACCAGACCTCCTATGTAAATCTAAAGTGTTAACCTGTAAAGGCTTTTAAAGCGTTGCCTATGGATCATAAAATGTAAGTAGTTTGTCACCGTTGCATGGACGCATGCTTTTTAAAGCATGACATGTTTGGTATCTATTTACTCAGCATCAGAGTGACCATTTGGAAACTCGGACACTGCCTGAGGGCCTGGGGTCAGTAGGGGGCCCCAGGAGATGCCCCTGGTACCTTTTTCATAGGCTTTTTTGAGTTTGGGCAAGGATACAGGGGCCCCATGATCCCCTATTGCCCGGGGGCCCCCTACTGTCAGTCCGCCCCTGCTCAGCATAATATCATCTTTTATATTTTACAAAAAAAAGTGGTTATATATTGTGTTTTTTGTATTAAAATTTAAAAGGTATATTTTTTCCCAAAAAATTGCCTTTGAAAAACCCCTATGCAAATATCATGGGACATATGAAATGGCAGAACCCACCAATTTATTCTCTAAGGCCTCTGCTTTAAAAAAATGTATGATGTTTGGGGGTTCTAAGTAATTTTCGAGCAAAAAATAATGATTGTTATATTTCAAGAAGTTTCATGGCATACCCGTTCAAAAAAGCACGGAACTTTTTCTTCTGCTGAACAACATTCGGTAGTGATTTGATTGTATTGGAGAGCAATGCCTATAACAGCTGGTTGATAGAGTTTTGCATGTCTTCTACCAACATGGTAAATGTAGCTAAAATGTAAAAAAAAAATAGAATTATTACAACTCCTGAATGAATGTACTGAGCATAATTCCACACAAACATATAGGGGCTGGGCTAGTACAGCAGTGCAAAGAGCAGGCAGTCAAGACATTACGCTAGTGTGATCAAATTGGTGAAAGATGAATTCTAAAGTCATGTAAAAAATGCAAGAAGAGAAGATGCTGCCAGCTTGATTTAGCAAAGTATGAAGAAAGGTAAAGTGAGCTGGACCTGTTGTCCAACATGTGTAGAAACTTACCTGCATAGGTATTGGATGTTTGACATGGTCACAGGTACACTTTCCCCATTGAGTAAAATTCAAATAGGTTAAATTCAAAGAGAGTAAACAGGAGCAGATGTGGAGGCAATTTTACTTTAAAGTGGTATTAAACCCCAAACCAAAAAAGTAATATATTGCAGCTTACCAATCATTAGATGTGGTGGCTGCATTAGTTTAGTTTTTTAGGCTTTTTTTTTTTTTTTGTTTCCAATATATCACTCGGTGATCCAGCCAGTAACACCCTTCCTGTCTTAGGATGTATGTATTCTGAATGAAGTAGTAAAGCAGACACCACTGGACAGCAACATTGTCAGTCTGGGGGGAGGGTAGTGTTAGACTAGCAAATTTAGACAGACTTGACCAGGGGTGGACTGACCATTTGGGAACTCGGGCACTGCCCGAGGGCCTGGGGTCAGTAAGGGGCCCCATGAGATGCCCCGGTACCTTTCATAGGCCTTTTTGGGTGTGGTTTGAGTGTGGGCAAGGACACAGGGGCCCCATGATCCCCTATTGCCCGGGGGCCCCATGAGTTGTCAGTACACCCCTGGACTTGACTGACTTGACAAATCAAAGCTAAACTCCAGCTATCCGTTACAGCAAACTGTGTTTTTTTTTGGGGGGGTTACATAAATGAATAAAAGCTGGTCACTATAAGCACCCATGTCAGTGATAAATGGTTTATTTCAAACCCTCTAAATGCTACTTTGTCCGGACAGCTTGGTCTTTTAGAGGAAGTTAAACAAAATAATAGACTTATTTGATTGATCTTCAAGTGATAATAAAGGAAAACAACTGGCAAAAAAAGAAAACAGTTGCAACTACCACATCTAAGAGTTGGTGAGCTGCAATTTGATACGTTTTTGTTTTTGGGTTCAATACCACTTTAAGTTTGCAGTTTATTTTGTAAATTTTCCTATCTAGTAATCGTAAGTAGTACTGTACCACAATTAAAAATTATATTCATTAATGAATTATATTAAATAAATAAGAAAAAAGGCCAGGGCACAAAAAAAAAATGCAGTCAGATAGACACTGTACTAACAACCTAACTTTTCATAGTTCTGCCTTCCTGGAACAGCAGGTATGCAGGGTGTCTAAAGCTGGGCAGACATTGGTCAAAATTTGACTGCTTCAGAAGGGACCAGCCGAATTCCAATCTGTGTGTGGTCCTCCTTGTTCTGACAATAAACTTCTGTCAATTCTGTCAAACAGACATGCTTGAAAACTTTTGTTGATCAGCGGCTGCAGTCATTCAGCTGCAGCTGCTGATCAATGTATTTTGGTGGTTAAAGAAAAAAAACAAACAAACATCTATGCCCAGCCTAAGTATAACTGTGCTGTCCAATAGGCACCAGAAATGACCCAATGCTCTCAGTAATTCACAGAGCTATTTTCAGACACGCTTCCTACCCTTCTCTACAATAGAGGTCTGTGTGAGGGCCCCTGTGATAACAGGTGTGGCTGTTACTCAGCTCTGCTGGCACAGACCACTGCAATGTAAAGGCAGACATCTCTTAGAGAAATGTTTTTTTTTTTTAAAGAAAAAGTCACGAACCATAACATGCAGAGCTAAATAAAGAGTGTAAAAAAAGTATGAGATTTGGGCTCCTTGCACAGGGGCGTCATATTTACTGATGTTTACTCAGAACTTGTGGCGCATGTGTGCAAGGGACCAAAAACTGTGTGTAAAGACCCGAGTAAATGTTAAATATAGGTGAGTAAAAGTGTGCAAGTGTATAGACAAGTATAAATAAATAAGATTCTTCTTCATTGCCAGTATTGTAATATACTCATTCATACTCCCATAAACATGCTTATAGACAAGTAAACACGCATATCGAATAAATCAATGACCTCAAATGAAGCATTTTCTATTTTGTTTTACTGCTCTGTACTCAACACCGTATTACTGATCTTCACTTTGTGTGCAATGCCCCATAGACTACAATACATCACATTTCAGATTAGTAAAAAACTCTGTATTTTTTACTCCCATGTACAACAGGCCTTAAACTAGATGTTTAGGAAAATTTTATCAATACACACCAAAAATTTCCTTTTCTAATGCTATATCATGGCACCATACATACAGTATAATATGCTTCTATGGTAGTACAAGCAAAAAGGTCATTTTAGGAATTCCCAAGTCAGTGATAAATCATAACATGTGGTGGGTAATTGGACTCTATGTTGGAAAATATGGAATATTAAAATATACTCACTAAAAAAGGAAACGTTGTGGGTGCTCTTTCTGTTCTTTGCAGCCTTCTTCAATGTCTGGTCTCTTAAATTCCTCAACTTTAACTTCTCTGTGGTCATAAAAGCACTTGATCCTCTCTGCCCCTGCTTTGCCACAACACTCTGTAGTCCAGGGGTATATCTCTTTTATGTCTTCCTTGCAAACTAAGTCATGATACATTTCCATCTGCAGAAACAAGAGACGCACAATTAAAGAAGGCAGTTTTAGGCCCCTTTTACATGATGGTTGGATCAGTTCCTGGCAGTTTCCCAGGCAAACAGGATCAGACAGTCCATTCACCCCTATAGACCGGTGGGTGTAAACTGATTTGTGTTTGTGTAGCAAGTAAATTAATAAACCTCCCTGTAGTGCTATTACTAGGCTGCAGCTAGAGGGAGCTCTAATGATTTGTAGTGTGATTTCAGGAGACTAATACCAACAAGCTCAAATTAAACTCTGAATGAGCAAGTGAGCAACGTGTTTTGTGCTCTCAACTTTGAAACAGGCACTGCAGGCTGCATCTTTGTCATAACTTGCACTCAGATCACCAATAATCCTGTAACATTTGTGTACACCTCACTATCTCCAGTCCAATTCAGTCTGCTAAAAACATGAGAGGGGATCTGTCCTCCTCCATCTAGGTAGATCAGATTGGAGGGCAGTTGAGTGTAAACGGACAGCCGGTCCATTTACACTGAACCCCCATAAAGCAGAGCTGGCCTTGTCCTTGTCCGCTCTGCATAAACTGAGCAGACACAGATTTGTCATCTGACCGCTCTGCTCTGATCAGCAGGGGATCAGCGGACGGATCCCCTGCTGATCTCAACGGAGTCCGCCCCATGTGAAAGGGGTCTAACACACACAGGTAGTTGGGGATTTTTAAGGAAATGTGGATCATGGCTGATGGCTAATGTTAGGTGGAGTAGGTGAGCAACTAGGCCCACAAGCCATTTAAAGCAAACCTGTGCCCAAACTAGTCAAATAGAAGAAGCTGTGCTGATTAAAATGCTGCTAAAAACTGCTACAGGGTGGCACAGGTGCGCAAAATCATGTATATATACGTGATTTTGCATTTCCGGGTAGGGGGTGCGCACAGCTTTCTGTCATGACACGCACTATGTACATTTCACAGCCTGGTAGGCAGATTGCATGATACTGCATTGAATGTGAAATTCACCCACAGCTCACGGCAAAGGGATCCTCCAGGTGCATGTGTTTTAAAATGTAATGATTGGTCTGCCAATAGTGAATGTGTGCTGAATGTTGTATTTGCTTCTTCACCCTGGACAGGTTCCTCTGTAAGAGTCTGGAAATGGGGGGGCTGAAAGCAAGATCTTGAAAGCAAGCCTCTATTGTATTAAAGTTCAAGGTAGGAGTTCTCTGCAGTGGCTGAACAGTTTGGGACCAAGGAGTCCTGATTTTAACCTAGGGATGAGCACAGTTATCTTAGCTAAATTGATTTTCCTGAAACATTATCAATTTAGCCAGCGGTGAAATGTCCAAGAAAAGTTTGCCTTCCATATCAATTACCAACCATTTTGTTTCTTTTTTTTTTAAATTTTCTAGATTTTGGCTGAAATGTTAGAATTTTAAAAGGTGCTGTTTGCATCACAGAGACTACCCACAGGTTCACTTTTGAGGCAGTCAATCACAACCAGTGAGCCAAAGAGAAGGGGCAAGGAGAATGGACACATGCACAGGATGGGAGAAACATGTTGGGATCATACATCTACATACCGTTAAAACAGTCAGGCTGCATGTGATCATGAAGCTATTGTAATTGTTTTTAAAATGAATGAATTTTTAATTATATTAATAAACTATTGATTATTTTAAATTATTGAGATTTGTTATGCACCTAAAAAATTCCAAAGCTCTCTGGTAATTGTTAATGTATGTTACATACTCTTGGTCCTTGCACAATGTGTGTCACATACTATTAATCCCTGCACAATGTGTGTTATATATTCTTGATCCCTGCACAATGTGTGCTACATACTCTTGTCCCTGCACAATGTGTGTTACATACTCTTGGTCCTTGCACAATGTGTGTTACATACTCTTGGTCCCTATACAATGTGTGTTACATACTCTTGGTCCCTGCACAATGTGTGTTACATACTCTTGTCCCTGCACAATGTATGTTACATTCTCTTGATCCCTGTACAATGTGTGTTACATATTCTTGGTCCCTGTACAATGTGGGTTACATACTCTTGATCCCTGCACAATGTGTGTTACATACTCTTGGTCCCTGCACAATGTGTGTTACATACTCTTGGTCCTTGCACAATGTGTGTTACATACTCTTGGTCCTTGCACAATGTGTCTTACATACTCTTGATGATCCCTGCACAATGTTTGTTACATACTCTTGATCCCTGCACAATGTGTGTTACATACTCTTAGTTCCTGCACAATGTGTGTTTCATATTCTTGGTCCCTGCACAATGTGTGTTACATATGCTTGATCCCTGCACAATGTGTGTTACATACGCTTGATCCCTGCACAATGTGTGTTACATACTCTTGGTCCCTGTACAATGTGTGTTACATACTCTTGGTCCCTGCACAATGTGTGTTACATACTCTTGGTCCTTGCATTTTGCACCACTGCGAATTCTGTTATTACATTATCATGTGAAGCTTGCTGAGAAACAGCCAAAGAGAGCATACCCCTGGTTTTTTACATTCAGCTTCATCTGAATGTGTTTCGCAGTGATCAACAGCCTCCATAATTTTTGCCTGGACTTTCAGGAGTTCATCCAGTGAGCATTTTTGGAAATCCTGTGCCAAAATCACCAACACTCTGTAAGACATGACAGCATAGTAAGTACATATTCATTCTAATCATGTGTTGTAACATCTGTCTTTTAAATTTAGCTCTAAACAGTAATATGTCATCAGAATGCATTAGTTTATGGAACCATTAAATTAAGCAGACCTTGCACACAAAGCCGTGCATTCTTTCTGATATTTTTTGTAAGAATTACTTCAGTGTCCACCATCATCCAGATTACAGTTACCCTTACCATATCAGAAAGTTAAAGAAAATCACTAATGCTTGAAAATGGCTTCATTCAATTCTAAGTACTTAGACTTCCCCTGAGACATGCGTACCTGTAAAGATGGAGCTAACTAGTGATAAATATGGCCTAGGCATATCTAACTGTTCAAAGTTGGCATCAAATTCATGGCCTACAACAGCTGGATAATGAAAACTAGTGGTCATCTTTATTTTCCTACATATCCACTACCAATATAACAAATATGACTGCTCAATAGCTCAGTTATATCTTTACATAGTAAAATGTAATATTGTAATTTGCCCTTGTTTGTTCTCCTTACACCTCCAGCTATAGCTTAAAATGGTTGTAAAGGTAGGTTTTTTACTTTCATGCATTCTATGCATGAAGGTAAAACACCTTCTCTGTGCAGCAGCCCACCCTAATACTCACCTAATCCCCCTCACGATCCAGTGATGTGCACTGGAATCTCAGCTATCCCCAGACTCCCTTTCCTCATTGGCTGACACAGCAGTGAGAGCCATTGGCTCCCACTGCTGTCAATCACAGTCAGTGAACCAATGAGAGGGCAGGGCCAAGCTGCAGCTCTGTGTATCAATGGACACTGAGCCTGCTTGGGTGCCCCCATAGCAAGCTGCTTGCTGTGGGGGCACAAAACAGGAGGGAAGAGCCAGGAAAGCCTGCAGGGGACCCGAGAAGAGGAGGATCCAGGCTGCTCTGTGCAAATCCACTGCACACAGCAGGTAAATATAGACATGTTAGTTATTTTAAAAGAAAAATAAATTGCTTTTACAATCACTTTAATACTGTATGTTTGCTTATACAGATTTACATACAACTGATGGAAATCGTGCTATGCTTTTTTTATTGTCTATATTCCTCCTCATGTTTGTATAATTTACTATTTGTAGGGTTGTGGGAGATGATTACGCTATACAAATTATTAATAATAAAAATAATAATAATATCTACTCATAATAATAATCCTATACCTACTTGTTTCTACTAGAACACTAACTACTTACTGGCCTACAATTTTCACAGTCAGGCAAAAAAAAGAATAAGGAGGAAGTGAAAAAAGAAGAAATCTATTAGAAATGATCATTTCATTGAGCTCATACAATTATCTGAGATTATATTGGTTAGTTGTTATGACACTTTGCAAATCCTCATTTCTCTTTTCACGATAATAAGGACCAAGCCCTAATACTTTGAAAGCAATTTTATCTAGAAGTTTGTATTGTTATGCAAATGTCAGAGTGTTTCTAGAACAATAAAAAAAACTTTATATATTTAGAATACTTACAATTTTTCAATAACTGGTCTTCCTACTGCCTTTCTAATATCGTTAATTGTCCGTGGATGATGGTCTAAAAAAACAATAAAAAACCACATCAGTAGTCACATAAAATGAAACTCCAAAACAGGTTTCTTTTCAATAAAGTAGTGATAGGCTACAAACTGTATCAGACTTTAATGCTGTTGTTGCGTCCGTCTGGGGAGATTGACCCTCACTTCTGTTGAAATTATAGTTTTCACTAGACCAGAAGGTAACGGGACACAATTAAGCTAAGGATACTTATAAAAGATTACTGATCTCTGTAAAATGAGGGATGTGCCATCTTCACAGCCGAGAACCAAAAGATGAAATGGACAGATCAGTATATGGCATTCCCAACTTTTATCTGTCCTTTCACCAATATTATGGATATAAAAACAAATACACAAATCATATATTCCTAGTGTTCAGAATTGGCCCCCTAAATCACAACCTCATCAGTGTCCGTTTAATATTAAATGTCCTTCTGAAAACAACTATTCATAAATATAAAAAACACAGATGTTTGATTTTTATTAAGGTGATGAGTTTTTATGTTTGCCCAACAGACCTCTTCCTTGGTTATAAAAAGAGAGAAGAAACTGATGGAAAAACACTCAAACATACTTAGTGCATTTTCATGCGCATAAAAATTGCTTTTCTGTGATTCTTGCTTACCATGATCTCGCTTTTGTAGGTGTCTTGACTCAGTTGCTATGGAGAAAATCAACAGACAAATCAGGGTGACCCACTTCATGTTGGCAAAG